GATCTCTAAAGGTCGAGACCGAGACAAGACCAAGATTTGTAAAAGCCGAGACGAGACAAGACCGAGACCAGAGCCCATCGAGACAAAATCAAGACCATCTTTGTAATTTTCTACATTTATTAGCATTTTACAGTTATTTTGACACATATATATCAATGTTTTTATAAATCTATCTCAACTTGAGCTTTTTTATGTTAATTTAGGCCTAAATAAGTTTTGTGGCCCTTTTTTGAACCCTCACCTAGTTTGAGAATCCCTTCTTTAAGATAACCTCCACTGGCACGTTACAGAAAACTGAACAAAGTGGTAGGATTTTTAAACCTCTTTTTAAGTTCCTAACTGGAGGGACCAAGACAAGACCAAGTCCAAGCACCTTCAAGACCGAGACAAGGCCGAGTCCAAGCACCTTCAAGACTGAGACAAGACCGAGTCCAAGCACCTTCAAAACCGAGACAAGGCCGAGTCCAAGCACCTTCAAGACTGAAACAAGACCAAGTCCAAGCACCTTTAAGACAGAGATAAGACCAAATTCGTGCCAAATGAGTCCAAATGCGCTCTAGTCTGTAGGCCAGTCTTCAGGCTGGTCTCAAGACCAAGACCTGTTTCAACCACTACAACACTAGTGTACGCACTGAGCACCCATAGATCAGCGCTTATGCTCATGATAATATTGTATCGGCAGCCATGCATCCTCCTCGATTCTCAGCCCTACTGAATACCAATCACCAACCAGTCTATTAAACTGAATGGAGACTGCATTTAGCCCTTGGTATAGTCCTCTGGTTCTGCTGTGTCTTTACCATTACCATTCTGTGTAGTTGTTCCAAATCTACACAAGAAACCAAATGAAGGTTGACAAAATTGGTTGGTTTTGTGTCATGCAAACCCACACAGAGGCTGAATTGAATGACATCTGGCAGCACAAAGCGCTATCTCTCCTCACTGTCTGTAAACAATTAGCGCTAACCCACTTCTCGCTCGCTGCCTGTCCCCCCCCCGCCCCGCGCCGTCCCGCTGTGAGCCGAGCAGTCCTGTCTATCTCATCCGATCTGTTTCCAATCTCTCTCCCGATACAGTAACGCAGGAGTCCAGTTTCTACGCCGGCCCGCCCCTCGACCAAACAGCCAGACGCATTTCAACTCTGCACCACCTGGATTAGCGTTTAACCACTGCGGAATCTCACAGCGAACCAAGCCAAACACCACTTATAGCACAGGGCTTAGCTAACAGTGCTGCAGGAGACCACTGGCTATAGAAGAGGAGCGTGGCTTATTAAAGATAGTATGGACACGCATGTTGTAATGCTTTCAATTAAACAGAAAGACATGCTGTTTTAAAAGGTGCACCATGAAAATGTTCTGGTCTCCGTGTTTGGAACTCTCCACCATATCTCATCATATGTATGTAGTGTTTATTCAGTTGCAGGTGATATATTAAAAAACATAAATTTTTTTGTAACTTGACTTGGTTTGTCTTCATTGAGATAGATACTTTAATATTATATTGTAGAATATTAAGGCAAAGTTATTGATACTTTGCAGTGACATCATGCTGGGTGGGTGGGGTCTACATGTATGTGTATTGGCGGAATGTTCACCAGTTACCATGGTGACTAGGGCTGGGTATCATATCATATCATATCACCAATACGATACATACCTTGATACATAGGCTATGATACGATACATATCTCGATACAGTGCACTTTCAATGCGATATAGTTCAAAATGATTCGATACAGTTCAGTGAAAATAAAGGCTAAGTTAAGTCATGGCTGTGATACTAAAAGTCTTCTTGTGCAGTGAAAATGTCAAATGTGTTGAGTTTCCTTTCTCTAAAAAAGCAACAAAACTGTAGTGCTTTAACAAAATCATTTAGTAAAATATAAATATAAAATACTGTTTGCGACATATCGATATAGCAGCCCATGATATTGAAACTGCATCATCAAATTAAACAATACGATATATCGGTATTTTGATAATTTTCTACACCCCAATGGTGACAGAATGAACACATTAGCAAACAGAGACAAATACGTTTTAAGATTGTGTGAAAACTCAAGAAAAAATTAAAAATGGATTCAAAGAACACATTTTCACAAGCTTCTGATCAGGACGTTCATGGTCCTGGTTCATGGTTTGATTTCTAACAAAATGGTGAGACGTGATTGACTGAAAAAATGTTGGATGTTGGCTAATGCTATCTAGCTTGTGACTGTTATGTTATTTGAGAGGGAATTGTATAACAGCCCAAATCATCTCGCCTGTTGTAGTTCCAAGTAAATCAGTTCTTTTTGGTCAGATTGTGTTAAAATTAAGCTCAAATTATAGTCTAACAAGCCTCAGATAGAGTCCTCAGACAATCATGCGGCGAAAACAGCACTAGAAATGTTACGTAGCGCCCCTTTTGAAAATATAGATTGTTTTGTGTATTTTATTTTTTATGCAGGCATCTGTATTGATCCAAAACAACATTGGGAATACAAATTGCGTAGTGTATACTTGCAAACTTCCAGCTTATTTGTGCGTGTGAATGTATCTAAAAGGCCGTGTGAGTTCGAGTGTTTATAGCTGGTGCAGTGGGGAGAGAGCTGATGTTGTCCTTCAGTTGGTTTACAGTAGCCCAACTATTTATAGAGAGGAGACATGGGCCGATCTGCTGAGTAGTTTGACTTGGCTGTGGTACCCGTAAACACACGAATCATTGCACACGCATAGGGGAGCAGAATAAGCTGTTTTGGATGCTAGTTTAAACCCAAATCGACATTAAAAATCTATTAAGGAGCTACCTCTAAATAATAGACTCGCGTTGTGTTGTAACTACAGTTGTTTACATTGGCTGCAGTGTTTGTAATGCCCCTCCCACCCCGAGGCTAGTCTGTCCAGTCATCATGCAACTGGATATGTTTTCCCTTTTGCTCTGCACAATTTGAGAGGCTGTCTACAGTTTATGGTCGTCAAACATAGTTACAAATGACAGAATGTGGGCTGCACGAAGTTAGCATCGAAGTGCATCAATTTTTATCCAGATTTACAATGTCTGTTTACTTAAAGATGCACTGCAAAGTCACTTTAAAATCAAACCATGAACACTCGTATTGATCACAGGTTCCAGAAAATGTGTTGTAAATCTGTTTTGCATTTTTTCGTGAGTTTTCAGACGATCTAAAAACTTGTCAAGCAGTGTTTTATAATGTGTGCATTGTGTCGCTATGGTTACTGATGCACACTCTGCCATAGAAATACATTCAGTACACCCTCAGCACGATGCCACTGCAAAGTATCAGTTGGTTTGTTCAGAGTGTTCCAAGTATGGATTAAATTTTACTTTCTTCATGAAGAGAAGATCTGTGGAGAGCCAAGCCTGCACACAGTATTTTGATGTATTTTTTAAGCTTTTTTTTTTGGTAATAAAACCGGTAATTGATTAAACACGCAAGATATTAATGCCATACTGTGGAACATTCCAGGCAAAACAATAATATCCCCATGGGGACTTATAGGTGGGAGAAAGACAAACAGGTAATTTCTTTGGATAACTTAAAACTTGTGAATGTGATTTTTGGATAAAACATTTTAATGAAAACTGCTCTATACCTTCAAGCTATAATAAACTTGTAAATATTGCCTCCTATGTCTCCTATAGCAGTGTTTATTTCTCTTAAGCGAGCAGATGACATTCGCAGATGCTGTTTTTATTAAAGCGCCTTGTTTGGAAGAAAACATTTATTGGCTCTGAATTCAAATAATGCGTTTTATTGACAATGCTGCTTTGATATCAATAACAAAATTCCTTTGCTTTTTTTTTGGCTTTTACGAGCTTGGACTGTCGCTCATAATACATCAATGGTTTTTAACAAGTTTCTTCTCACACCAATAGTTAACAAATGGTCTGGCAAAGTAGTCAATCAAATATGGCAGCTAGCAGTGTGTACAATAGACTTCATAGTAACAGTACATTGGAGTAGTATGTAGTATTATGCTGCAGGGTATTGCTATCTCTGTGTCTTACTCATCTGTGTCATGGTACAATATAGGCTCCAACTGCAGTGTGAATGAGTACTTTTGTACTGGACTTGACACAGACGTATGACTACTGACAAGTGGGTCTGCATAGTAACAGTATCTAGGCTTTATAGTAAATATAGTGTAGTATTGTCCATATGTGTAAGGATGTGTCAGCCATTCCGGGTCAAAATGGAGTCTTTGTACATCTTCATGAGGAGGTGAACTGTGACCCCAAGTCCATTATGGTTTCCCAAACACAGATTGCATTGTGGGTTGAAGATTCGAACCCCATTGGAAAACATGGCGCTAATCAAGCTTATCTGCCTTTCACTTGTGGTTAGCCATGCTACGCTAACCTATAGATAAGCTATAGTGAACTTTATATCCTACAGCTGTTGATATTGAACATATTATTAAGCATTTTAAAAATTCATTGCTGAATCATTTGATTCCATTTCATTCCATTGCTGTTTATTTACCACTCAACCAAACTATTTAAATATGTCATAATGTGTAATATTTCAAATATCAGTAACAAATATCAGCAATAAAATAGCCTGCTTAAACATTAAAAGCTACAGTAAAGGGCTGGGGTTAGAATATGGCTAAGGTTTCTGAAGTCTATTTTCCAAATGTATTTCTTGTTGGAAGGCCATTCAAGGTTGACCATGTAACTTTTCTCTTGGGCTCCACCACCTGCTTCATAGTTCCGATGTTATTGCTTTGCATTTCTAGGCATAATAATATCTCCATGGAGATGAGCAGATGGTAGACCCCCATCAAAAAAGTTACATATACATATACATACACGTATACATATACATATGCATATACAAATACATATACATATACCAATACATATACATATACATATACCTTTAATTGAAGGTACTGCATTAGGAACACTGTTAGTTAAAGGTTATTGAAGTATCAGTACACACAATGATACTTTAACACATGAGTTATTCCTGTCCTTCTCTCCCCTCACAGCGTCTGAACCCTGCGGCGGGTACCTGGATGCCAGCCAGGCGGGGTACATCACCACCCCCGGGTATCCTCTGGAGTACCCCCCTCACCAGAACTGTCGCTGGGTCATCACAGCTCCAGAGCCCCTCCAGCGAATCGTCCTCAACTTCAACCCACACTTTGAGATCGAAAAACTGGACTGCAGGTAAGGACAGGGTTTCGCTCTTTCTGCTTTGAGTATTTTTGAATAGTTGAATGACTACTACTACTACTACATCTACTACTTCTACTACAACTACCACCACCACTACTATCACCAACTTTTTAGAGTTGCTCAATTATGGGAAAAAAATATGACTTTGTTGTGTTTTGATTTTTACAAACACCATCTTTTTTTTCTTTGCTGTTACAGTTTTTATATTCTTTTTTTTTATTATTATTAATGGGACTAAAACTTTTATGAGCACATGTCATATTCATAGAGACCACACAACAGCTACTACCACTTCTACTACTTATATGAAGCAATAGGTTTCAATTTGATCCTAGATATATTTAAATTTTTGTTGGATGCATTGGGCGAACTCCATCCCACTCTCCTCCTGTTCCTCTGGCTCTTTGTGTCTCATAATAATCTCTGTGGGACCTCCCTTGGTCTCCTGCCTCTAATTATCAAAGTCTAATTACAACACATTTACTGTTCCAGGACGCGTTCACACTCCACAAGATTTAACCCAGATTAGAGGATTTGGTGTCCATCATTTGGCTTTTTTGGATGCTTTTCAGACTTGGAGCGAGAGATACAGGGAATTAAACACACAGAGAACACAGATAAAAGACATGGGAGGAATTGGAAGACACACAGATGCATGCTGGGTGATCGCAGGGACACGGGTAGGGGACAGGAAGAGGGTAAATAGACATTGTGGCTTACAGGGCAATACGAGTGTGATGAGTCAAGATTGTCAATAACAGCTAATGAGACGGGGCTGGCTACTGTGAAATGCTACTGTGGGCTTAAGCTATATCAACCAGAGCAGAGTTTAATTTAGTCTAGTGGTGGTTCTCAATATGTGGTGTAGGTACAATTCTCCTGATCCTGATTTTTCTTCATGTTATGTATTTTCTTTCTGCTTTAGTGTTTGCTCTCAAAAGTGTGCCAAGTAACTTTTCTGGTCTTGCTTGAATATTCCACTGTATACTATTAAACCCATCTATCAATCATGTATGCAATTATGAGTATCTTATTTGCTCAAAAATACCTTGAAGAACATGCATTTTACTTTTAGGGGTGGTCTCCTTGGACGTAAATAAGTTCGCTGTCATACTGTGAAACATTCTAGCAATGACGTCTCCATGAAATTACAATACAACCAAGAACTAGAGTGGACCAAACCAGGACTAAACCGAATCTAAACCACAAAATAAAGAAACAGAACAACTGAACCACAGCTGAACCAAAGCTTACCAGGACTAAGCAAACTGGTAACCATGTAGTTTAGATCTGCACAAACACGTTCTGAAATGTGATTCCTGGAGATGTCAAGAGCGCTTTAAGAGAGGCATGTCCAAACTATGGCCCGTGTGCCAACTGCGACCCTCAGACAAATTTTTCTTAGCCCTCAGGCTTTCAGGTGAATTGGCTCAAATTACCTTGCATCAATTAAAAATTTACTTTTTCTGCAAGTTTTTTGAAAATCTACCTTGATAAAGCCAATATTTATTATTTAATGTGTGGTTTTAAGGATGTTAGCAAGAATAAAGACTGATGCTCATTCTAACGTGTTAAACATGAACATATTTCAATTATTCACTGTGTTGAGCACCAGTCTATGGCCCTCGATCAGCCCTCTGCTTCATCTGTGTTTACATATGTGAAAAAAGTTTGGACACCCCTGTTTTAAGATGTGAACTTCCAACAGAATCCTGCACCATCTCAGCTTTTTCAGTTCCGTTGCTGATACCAATACTATGACTTTAAGTATCTGCCAATATCTGACATTCACCGATAGCCATGCCACAGAAAATGGTACCTTTTCCTTAAAATGCAATTAACTTATTACACAAGAGTTCCAATTGTGTTGTGCAACTGTTATTTATCCTGCACATCACGACTGAACCTCTTCATATGAATGAAAGTTAAAACATTATGAGATGTTCTTGGCCAATTAGGTTCTAGGTTACATCTAATTAAAGGCTGAATCAATATCATGAAACCAATAACCAACACAGCCAATTTTAAGTATTGGCGCCGATATTCGATGCCAGTGTTGATATTGGTGCATTCCTAATCGTATTGTGTCTTTCCTAAGTCCAAGTGCAACCAGAAAAAGCCCGCCTATCACCCCACTGCCTGACAACCCCACTTTCAGTTCTTTAGACTCTAGATTTTGGCACATTATTTTGCAAGGAACAGATGTGGCACTATCTTGTTTTTTATGGGCTAGCAAAAGGTCAACAGTGAAGCATGTTGCAGAGTTACAATAGTGTCTTTGTGTGAATACATACGGCTCCATTGTCCCAGACGAGGACAGACCATGTACGAGTGTATCTCCTCTTTGTAAACTCAAGATTTACTGCTGACTGGCTCAGTGACGCTGAACCCAAGTCTATAGCCCGAGAGAGTTTGAGAAATCGAAATACAAATCTTGTTTCGATGATTTATGTAATGATTTTAGGGCGTCTGGTGCTGTTTTTTGTTGGCCTTTTGTTCAGATGTGATGGATTCTCTTTTGGGAAGAGATGAAAAAGTACTTGAAAGACTATCAACAAGCTAATTTGTCCTAGCATGCTGAAGAGTATGTACTGTAAAAAATGAGTTCAGTTATTTCAGAATATTAATCTAGAGTAATAGGTTTATTGACTAATGGAACCAACAATACTGAACTTAAAAATAAAAATAAAATAATGGTTGAAAGACATGGAAAAAAAATACAACATGCTATTTTCTTTTTTGGATTTTAAAGTCACAAATATCTGGAAAAAGTCAACCTGCCTATATTTAATACGTAAATACATCTCTAATCTAGCCAAAGTTACTTACATCAACAATATTATTTTGAATTTAAGTAACTTTACCTCATACTTTTTGCAGTATATCTGGTAGGGATGTAACAATAACCGTCTCACAATAATATCATGGGCTGTCACAATATATCGAATTACAAGTTCCTTTGCTTAAATGCATGGTTTTATAGTAGCAACGCCTTATAAACATCGGGAACTACATATCCCATGATTCATTTCAGTGCAAACAACATGAAAAAATATGTTTTTTACTTGAATTCTTGGGATTATGATGGAAATAATTCACACCAACATCTTGTCAAGGTATTTTAAAAGCAAAAAAAGTGTCCTATCTACCATTATATCAGCCTCTCCAAAATATCGCAATAAATATCGTACTGTGAGATGCATATCGTGATAATATCATGCCAAGAGATTTGGATATCGTTGCACCTCTAATATCTGGATAATATTACTCAAATTCAACATAATTTGAGAAACATTTTATACATTAATATTATTGTGTCTCATCTCTTCTTTTAAAGGTGCATTGTGTAACTTTTCTGGTGGAGAGTGCATCAAAAGATTTTCTGGAAATTTCATTACTTTGTCTGAAATGTTTCACAGTATGGTATTAAATCTTTCCATCATCATGAAGACCAAACCAGTCCAAGTTACAGGTCAGATCTGTGGAGAGGCGACCCCGTTCACAGTCAGAATGCTGGAATGTTTTTCTAGGTATTTTTGGATGCACCTTTAAGACATATAGTTAAAGCATTTGGCAATATGCATTTGAGTAGGATTTCTAATAGCTACCTTCTGGTTAGATGGCAATGGCTTAACTGCCTGTGCCACTGTTGACCCTGTACTGTACGTGTGTTTAAGAGAGACACCGTTTTAGACAGAGACGTACAGAGACACTATGTGACCAATGTCCGACCTGTTGCCGACAATCAACGAGGACATACTCGACCCCCCACGGAGACACACACACCTCTGTGACCTTGGACCCCTGCACGACCTAACAGCTCTATTTCACACACACACACACACACACACACACACACACACACACACACTCGCACACACAGAGTACACAAGCGCTGGACGCCTCAGAGGATAAAAATACCCTTAGCTGTGAGACCATTAAATAACCAACGATTAGACCACCAGCACTGGAAATACTACTCAAAACTCAAAAAGGAAGTAAACAGTATTAGAAAGTATTACTTAATGCATTGCTAAAGACTAAATATGACAGTGGCCCTGTGGAATCCTGTCATTCACACACCTTGCTTATACAGCATGAATGAGTGTGTACGTGATTAGTTGTGATAAATGGGGCCGATGGTGCAGATTGGCAGCTTGTAAGTAGCCATAAAAGTATAAAATAGTCGATGAATGACATTAACATTTCACATCATGTACCACTTAAGAACCACATTGCAAAAAACAATATCTAGGTAAGTGAAAATGACTTAAATTTAAAAAATTATAAATAATTTGACCTTATTTGAGTCGATTCAACTTGACAAGTAAAATGATTTACCAGTGGAATAAAAGTGTTTTTCTTAATTCAAGCAACATCCGATTTTGTTTCTTATTTTAAGTGCAAAAAGTTGTTGTTATACTGGTAGATAATATTACTTGTTAAGTGAAATTTACTCAAATCTAGTAATCTTAACTTGGCTAGATTTTCATTTTTGCATTGCAGGTCTATAACAAGACTATGCCAAAACCCAATTAAGAGAAAACTGTAACACAAATGTAATATTTATAAATGATAACCAAGAATTCTCTTTGATTTAAATCCTCACTACCTAAACCAGAGCAACCAATCATGAATCAGTGCTAGTGCAACCTCTGCAGGTCAGTGAGTGAATTCTGGAGGCTCTGAGCTTTTGTCCTGCTCAAACTGAGAATGAGAAAACCTTGTATATGTCCTCTATATGCAGGTTAAAGGGCCCATATTATATTACTTTCTGATCTATGCTATAATGCTGTTTGCTCACCAAAAACATACTTGGATGAATGTCAGCAGAGGAAAAGACGTAGAGCGCTTCACTGGGTCATAGATGCCCTGACGAAGACCATCTTACTGGTCGAAATGCGTTGGCGTCCCTTCAAGTAATAAAGGGTTAGGGTTTTAATATATTCAGTCGGAGTGCCTCAGGTTTGTACCTTGCCCGCTTTTTACAT